ACATAAATTTAAGGAAGTTTATGGGGGGGGGGGGGGGGGGGGGGGGCGAGGGATTGGTGCGTGGGGCCAATGTTTCATGATGCGTGGGCCGGGAAGCCTTGCTGAGAAGCAAGGGAGGGTGCGCCGCCGCTGCGTCGACGCTCTATCGTGCCACAGTCATCATCCTGAGCTTCTCAAACCAATTGTCAACCCCACAGGTTCTCCCCCCACATCCAAGACATCAAGGTGCTGGAGGAGCGGCCGGTGCGGAGGGCCAAGCTGTACTACCTCCGGAAGAGGGTGCCGCGCGAGTATCGCGTGGCATGAGAGAGCGAGACGTCGCATCCTCGAGCAAGTTGACTGTCGATTTGGCAGTGTCACTGTGCTCCTGGTGGCGGCACGGGAGGAGCGGAGATGCAGACAGGGGCACAATTACTTTCCTGTCTGGCGGCTCATTTGTCTGCTACCCCTCTCAGGCAGACCCCTCCCGAAAGCCCTCCATGCGCTCTGCAACCCTGCCTGTAGGGTCTTGTTCCTTTGTCACAAACATAAATCCAGAAACATAAAGAAAAGCTGTTCCAGGACCCGTTGCCAGTGGCCGGTCACACATATCAATTATGCCCTGCTGGCATGCCACAGCCGCCACTCAGCGTCCCTCCGGCAGTCGATCGGCTGTTGTCCCAGGGCATCTCGCGGAAAATGATGCCCAGGTCCCTGTGATGCCGCCTGCCTGCCATCACGCTGTTCCCCCTCACCAATTGGAGAACTTGCGGGCCGCCGCGGGCGCGGCCTTGGTCGCCTTGGGTCCGGGAGGCGGCAGGGGGTGCCCCGCCCCCACCTGCTGCTGCAGGATGTTGCCGATGAGGTCGGCACGGGAACCGCCCACGTGGCGTCCTACCGCTGCGCCGTTGCGGTAGAAGAGGAAGGTGGGGACGTCGCGGATGCCCAGAGACCCCGCCAGCAGCGCCTCCAGCTCGGGCGTCTCGTCCAGCTGGACGCGCGCAAAGGCCGCGTGCTTTTCGAAGTTGCGCGCCAGCGCCAGGACCGCGGGAAAGATGTGCACGCAGGGCTCGCACATGGAGGCGCAGACATCCACCACCGTCAGCACCTTCAAGATATTTTGGGGGGGATCAGAGGTTGGTGGCATGGAGAGCGGGGTTTGATGTATGGTCATCGAGTGTCCAGCTGACCGGGACGTGAGGTTGTGGATGCAACCAGCAGCCCATGCAGGGAGGGGGATGGCAGCGAATGGGAACACTCGCACGCATGCCAGGCCTGGGGACATGGGAGCCTGAGCTGCCCTCCACGCATGCAACTCGGAAGAGCGCAGCAGCTACGCCCCACCCACCCCGCCCACGACGTCTCACGTCTTTGTCCTGCGACTTGACAAACTCCTGGAACTCCTCGGGGCTGTGCAGATCCTTGACAAAGCTGCTGGCCTTCAGGTTCTCGGCCGCCTGGTCACCATAATAGAGCACGCCCTCGCTCAGATTCTGCTCCAGCTTGTTGATGCCCTTGTGCTCCCAGAGCAGCTGCTTGTTCTTGATGAACTGCACCGTCGGGATCGTCTTGACCTGCAGCTCCTCCACAAGCTCCTTGGACTTGGGGTCATCCGCCTGTATGGGGAGGGATGGGAGGAGGGCGGGCCTGAGCAGGCTTCCGCTCAAGGGTGACATTGATCCAAGGGTGGGAGATGACATGGCGCTACGCAGGACGACAAGCAACCGGCTTCCCGGCTTGCAACAGGATGGCTGGTCCGAGTGCGGCATGCACACCCCATTCAAACATAGCCCCCTACTCCGATCCTTGTCCCAAACGCGCACGCTGATGGCGAGAAACACGGCATCCGAGCAGTCACGGGCAATGCGGGCAAAGGTGTGCTTGAGGCGCAGGCAGGGCTCCAGCGCCGCCCGCTTATCTTCGTCCCACTGCAGCTCCGGCTCCTCGTCCCACCCCGTCTGGCAAATTTCCTCGGAGGCTACTTCCAGGACCACCAAGGAGTCCCCTGCCTTTTGAAAAGAGGTTGCATGGGGGGGGAGTCGTCGTTAGAAGGGAGTCACGCTCAGAAGCCGCAATACGACAAAGCCATCCCCTGTGAGCATCTCAGCGGGATGCCCTCCATGCTTAGTCGACGCACTCGCCCCGGCCCCCAAATCCGGCCGCACCCTCTCCAGCGCCGCATCCAGCTCCACACGGTCTTGCAGGAACTTTACCCTCTCCGCGACCTCCTCGCTCTCCCGAAGGCGTCGCTGCACCGCCTGTTCAGGATTCTCATCATTGGGTAGCGCTGCACAAGCCTGGCGTCGGTGCATGGGGCGGGGGGCCCGCCTGCATGCTCGGAGTGCTCGTGGCTGCTTCCTACCACAGCCCCGCAAGGCGGGGCTCGCCACTGCAAGAGACCCCGTAATGGCCAGCATAATGAATTGTTCCGAGTGGTTCTCTGCGACTGGCGCAGTGAGGAGGGTCATGCAGGCGTGGGCATCCTCTCCATGTGGATCATGGAGAAATCACGTGCGGCCCGTGGTGGTGCGGGGATTGGTGTCCTGGATCAGTATCGCTCCACATGTTGGTACATTGAGCGAACGATCTACGGCTGAGTTCCAGTCAGGATTTTAATTTCAAGTGTACATCAAGTATGTTCCAGTCGATGCAGTTCAGGTCCCTGCTCTCAGGGAGGACAGGAATACGTTGTTCTGATGAGCAAAAAAATACAAGTCCGAGATCACTGGGGCCAGCAGTCCCAGCATCCTGGACCTAAACTCAGTCACACATGCCGCTTGCCCTGGATGAACTCGCGCAGAATCTCAAGCCTGGCTGCCTCGCAGCCTCCGTCGCCGCTTGGAAGACTTTGCTCAGCCTTGTGCAGGATGGCGAGGGCCCTCCGCGGCTCGCTCCTGCGCAGAGAGATGCATGGGATGACGTGGTGTGACGCCGTGGTAACCCCGGTCCTTACCATACAAATGGCCGCCTCTTCCAACGGAGTCGTTGCGTTCCCCTCACACCCAACCGTCACCTGCGTAGGCAGTCCATCGCGGCCTGCAGCTCCCGCGAGTACGCGCAGGCGGGCCGGGGCGAGGGCGTGGCGGCCAGCGCCCGGTCCCAGCCCTGTGCCTGGAGCAGGAGGTCCGCCGCGCTTTCCACCACGTCCACGCGGCGCAGGGGGGTGCTGGCCAGTAGCGTGCGCAGCAGGGCGCTCGCGCCCGCCAGCTGCCCCGCCTCCACCAGGCTGCGGCAGGTGGCCAGCAGCACGCCGCCCGAGCCGGGGCCCGGGGCCTCCACCTCCGCGTCGCTGCTGGCAAAGGGAGTGGGCAGCTGCAGGGTAGCTGCCTCGGACCCCCGCTGGCCGTGGTGCCGCTGGCTCGCTTGCTGCAGCTTCAGGGCCAGGCCCTCGTCACTCACTCTCACGAGCCCACTGTAACCTGGACCGGCATAGAGGGGGGTCTCGTAAGTGGCAGGCAACATGCCTGGAACGCAGCTATGTATGTGGAACCCCAGCTCTTCTTCGCACCCACCGTCCCAGTATGGCACAGGGTTGGCCAGCTCGCACTCCTCGATCTGCCCTTCATACATCCGCATCTGATGCTCTATGATGGCATCGGACTCGTCCGTCTCAGGCGCCGAGCTCCACATGGAGCCGGGTGGCCCTACGAAGTGATCCTGGGAGTCTAGTTGGCCGACAGACGCGCGCAGCGTTGGCACGAGTACTTTTACAAGTGTATGCGCATTGTTACACATTGCATATGTGGTCAGGCTGGGCATCACAAATATGGTGGCTTGGGACTATTTCCTCCTCGTGGAATCTCGAGGAGGCACGTGGTGCCAGCAGCACTTTCACACACAGGGATTCCGTCTCACAAAGTACATGACGATTGTGGCATGCTCCTGAGCATCTGCAATAATGCTTATCGGCTTCGAGAACTTGAAGATACATACGCTTGCTTACTTGAGCGCACGTCATGGCACCCGCACCCTCTCCTGAAGACTTCCTCCTCGCCGAGGTGAGAATGAATTCGCAAACCAAGTGCAGGCACATCTTTAGCAACCCGCGTTGTAAGTATGACCTCATACCATTCGCAGCCGGACGCACTGGCGGATGTGCAGCTGGATGCCTACTACATGGATGGCCTGGACGAGGACCAGCGACTGCCCCATAGGTGGGACAGCCTGGGTCTGCCCTGGATACCATGCGAGTTTCAAGAGGCTCATCCTCATAATACCTTGTACTCGCTCTCGGTGAAGGCCGTTGCATTTCCTCCTCACCCATGCAGGTTGGAGCCCAATTCCCCTGCGCCACCCCAGGCACTTCGTGCCCTGGGTGTGCTGAGCTGGAGGCTTAACCCCGACACTCCCGAAGGAGCACAGAAGCTTGCTGCGATCAGGCGCGTCCGAAACTACACTTATGAGGCGAGTGTGGCTGATCAGGACATCGCATGGCATGTGCCGAGACCTTGGCACTCCCGCCCATGCAGCTCCAGGCACCACACACTGCCATCGCCTCTTTGCCACAGGACACCATCAACGTGTCGCCAGCCACCCTTCCGGAGTACGATGAGAAGATCAAGACCTTCTTTGAGGAGCACATCCACACTGATGAGGAGATCCGATTCGTGCTGGAAGGCAGCGGTGCGGCGGCTGGTGGGGGGTCCCTGGATATGATGGTGGCGTGCATCATGGGACTAGAGCGTATTCATGCTCTGCAGCGCCATGTGGCGTGCAAACTCTTACTAGATCAATTCAGAAGCTGCAAGCCAGTCCCTCTGAGCGATACACTTCCTTTCCACACCCTTTCCACAGGATACTTTGACGTGCGGGACCTGGAGGACCGCTGGATCCGCATCCATGTGAAGACAGGGGACATGTTGGTGCTGCCCGAGGGGATCTACCACCGCTTCACGCTGGACACCAGCAACCACATCAAGGTGCGCAGTTTGAAGCTGCTTTGGGATGGTGCAGAAGCTGGAGTGGGTACATAATCACTTACCTAGGGCCTAGTTGCATGCAATAGAAGGGTACCTCCATCCGCTATAGTGTGTGCAACAGGTCTGCAGAAGCTTTGCTGGCACAGGCGTGCATCAGATCAATGTTCCTCCTCAATCCTGTGCCCTCGTCGCATGCCTCCCACCCTCAGGCCCTGAGACTCTTCATCGGAGACCCGGTGTGGACCCCTCTGAACCGGCCGCAGGAGACACACCCGTCGAGGGAAAAGTACACGTCATCATTTCCCATCGCTGTATAAAATCTGTCTGGTTGTGGGTATGGACCCCCGTGTACCGTCTCCCCTCGCTCACCTGTAGATGGCATGCATTTCGATGGTCAAGAGGGATTCCCGTCGAGGTCGTGCATGCTCTTATGCGTGTGCCAATGACTCTGACTGGTCTTTGTGTTTCAATGTAGCTGGCCTGTTGGCTGGCGACGATGATGCAGTTTGACTCCCGAGTGGATTAGATTCTAGGAGATGCAGGGGTAGCAGAAGTACAACGCTGGACATTACTTCCACTCTGAGGTTCAATAATCGAATTATGGTGGTTCCCTGAGCTCTTACCAAGGATTGCTTGGGCTTCGTCTATCAGATTTCACCAATTGACCAGCGAGGCCAGGTTGTATCTCACACAGGATCAAACATCGCGTGCATGCGCGGATTCAAAGCCGACCGAGACAGTCCCACTTCGGCACTCGCTGCCATGAAATCGGGACCCGCCCGACGGCGCATCCAGAGCTTGCAGGTCAGCAAGTGCAGCTTGGGGTGCCCCATTCTCGACGCCTTCCTGGGGGGCGGGCTAAGCAGCGGCAGCATCACAGAGCTCGTGGGTGGGTCATGGGTCCGGGTGGAGCGGAGAGTTTGGGAAGTGTTTGGGGCAGATGCGAGTATATGTTTTTATTCAATCAAAGCATACTCCATCCCAATCCGAGACTTGCCCATCACTGGCGCCGACCCGCGCCCTGCTCCTTGTTACCCGGCAGGGGAGGCCACCACCGCCAAGACACAGCTGTGCCTGCAGGCCCTGGTCCACGCCCGCCTCTCCCTCGGTGGCTCCGGCGTGTGAGTTTTGAGGATGACTGGGACTTTGGATGGAAATGTGGCCCATTGGCCTGTCTATCATGGCCTTCACCAGAAGGATGCGCCCCCTCCACACCCCTTCACTGCCCCCCTCTTTACCGAACACACCCACCACCTCCAGGTACATCTACACCGAGGGCGACCCGCCCCTGGACAGGCTGCACCAGCTGGCCCAGGCGGCCGTGGCACGCCGCAAAACCCCCCTCTCCGCCGGCGACGTAGTGGCCGGCGTGTTTGTGGAGCGCGGCGTCGACTGCGGCGAGGCCCTGCTGGCCAGGGTCAAGGCCCTGCAGCCCTTGCTGGCCCGCGTCGCGGGCACCCCAGCCCCCGTGCGCCTGCTGGTGGTCGACTCCCTGGCCGCCCCGCTCCGCGACCTGGGCCCCAGCCCCGGCCGACGCGAGCTCCTGGCCCGGGCGCAGACCTTCTTCCGCCTCGCGGCCGCGCTGCGCGCGCTGGCGGATCGCCACGGCTTCGCGGTGCTGGTCACGAACCAGGTGACGGACGTGGTGGCGGGGCCGGGGGCGGCGCTGGCGCGCAGCGCCACGGGCGGCGCGCCCCTGCTCACCTCGGGGCGCGAAGTGACGCCCGCGCTGGGCCTGGCCTGGGCATCCTGCGTCAACACCCGCCTCTTCGCCGCGCACGCCGCCGGGGGGGGAGCGCCTGGGCCGCGCGTCCTGCACCTGGTCTGGGGCCCCGGCCTGGGCGCCAGGCGCTGCGAGTTCGTCGTGGGGGCCGACGGAGTGCGGGGCCGGCGGCCCGAGGGCCCCGGGGGGGGAAGCATGGCGCGGAGACCCTGACCCCCCAGGCGGTGTGGGCGTCCGTGTGGCCGCGACTGTGCGTATCCCTCAGCTGCCCGTGGTATCTACTCCACTTTTTCCTATTGGGATCACCCTGCCACAAACAATGCAACACGTAGAATGATCATGCTGACTTCAACCACTTGCGGCCCAGGGAGGCTCCCATCCCCCCCTACTCGGGGCAGGCAGATTCATCGCCAGGCGGTGGGTCGCATGCATGGGGCCACTTCACTCACGTAATCGGTTCAGCCCCTCCCCGACCTTGCTCCCGCGGAGCCCTGCGCCGCCAGGGACGCGCCCACGCCTTCCTCCTCCTCGTCCCGGAACAGCTCAGAGGGCAGCGCGGCGCCCAGCGACCCCCGCCACCGCCCCGAGGGCGCGGGGCACAGCTCCCAGCGGTCCCAGGCGCTGGGGCCCAGCAGGCTCAGCAGGACAGGGAGCAGGATCAGGCCGTGAGCGGCGCCCACCAGCACCAGCGCCAGGTACATGCGGAAGAAGTAGACGCGGAAGATCTGGGTGCGCGCAAAGGCCAGCACCGCCACGCCTGCGGGTTGGATTTGTTTTTTTGGGGGGGGGGCAATATGAGCGTGGTCGTGATCGAGAGGGACGATGAAGTAGAGGTTTGGGGTCAAGAGGGCGTGAAGATATCCCGGGGAGATGCTGGCAGCATGGTGGAGCAGTGCCTCGAACCCAAAATGGTGGTGGAGGCATGCGGCCTGGGGGGGCTCGCTGATGTGAGGAGGCGGGGCATGGGATAACTGTGCGAACTGTGTATGATGGAAAGAAGACAGTAGCCTGGAAAGTGCCCTCATCCTGCTGCTCTGCCTCCTGATCACAAACGGAACACCAGTGGAGTGCATGACGGTGCCACAGCTTGCAGGGGCCACCCATGTGTAGTCGCAACTAGCATTCAGAACCCATGCACCCATGCCCTCCTGCTCTCTTCGGAATCCAACACGCTCAGACCCTCCACCACCCACCGACAAACTTGGTGAGGGTGATGCCGGCCAGCACCGCCGCGCCGACGTGCGTCAGCGCCGCGGCGGTGCGCTGCTCCCGGTCCCCCGACTCCTCCATGAAGGCGTGGAGCAGGTGGGCGCAGAACTCCACGCCAATGCCCAGGGCGGCGACCAGGTTGACCACAGACACCGCATTCAGCTGGATCCCCGTCAGCGTCATCAGGCCCAGCAAGTCCACCACCATGGAAGCCAGGGTCAGCAGCACCAGGCAGGCCGCAACTGGGCTGCCTGTGGTGAGGGGAGGGGTTGCAAAGGGGTGGGTGGAGAGGTCAGGAGAATACAGTCGGGCATGCACATCCTTCCTTTGGCCCCCCACCCACCGCTCTTCGAAACCCAGTCACACCACCTGTCATGGCCAGGCAAATGACGAATACGGCGGTGGCGGCGATGCCCAGGATGGTGGCCGCCTCGCCTGCGATGGTCAGGTACTGCTCGAAGAAGACGTGGAAGATGGAGTAGGCGTAGACCGGCAGGCCTAGCGCCCGCGACTGCTCCTCCGCAAACCCACGCGACGCCTTTGGGTGAAGAAGGGGAGAGGGTGAGGTATTTACTGTTAGAACTGGGGCGGAGATGACCCTGCCTGCGCTGTGTGAAATGTTGTGATGCCACCCCCTTCAGGCCGATCCATCTTCCTCCTCCCAATCCCACCAACCTGGAGAGCCTGGATGAAGTCGGCCTGGCGCGACAGAGACACGTAGCTGGTGCGGAAGGCGGAGGCGTCCACCCTGCCCCGGGACAGGCCTGCGACGGCGGTGGCATCGGACGCAGAGCGGCGCAGAGCGGCGTCGTAGGCCCCCGCGCCGCCCTTGGCGCAGGCCGCGCTGGGCTTGGCCGCCAGGAACCACGGCAGGCGCGCCTGGAACTGGGCCAGAGTGGGGCGGCCGTCGGACAACTCGCCCGGCCCCAGGCAGGGCCGGCAGTCGGCGCAGGCGGTGGGATCAGAGGCGCAGGGCTCCTGGTCGGGGGGCGGGCAGTAGGCGGGGTCAGGATTGGGGCCGAGGCCGAGAATACCACCTCCAAGGTCCCCCCCGTGCTGACGGCAGCAGAGCGGGGCGTCCGGGGACAGCCATGTGATGAAGTCGTCCAGCCAGGAGGCCGCGGGGGCGGCCAGGAAGGACTGCCAGGGCGCGAGCGCGGCGCGCGACACCTGTCCGACGGGTTGTTTGGGAGGGTGTTGGGGTGAGAGGGTGGGGGGTGAAAGGGAGGGTACCCCTGGCTCGCACACCTCATCACAGGTGTCTGTACACGCACCTGGTTGTCAATGCATCAGGAGCGCCAGAGGACACATGAAGCCCTTGCCATCCAGAGAACACCATGACACAGGTACCCACCTCGTTGAGCAGGGAGTCTGGGTCGCAGCCGGATACGGAGCATATGGCGGTGACATTGTCATGCGCGTGCTGGGTCAGGTCCAGGCCTTCCACCACGAGGATGAGAGGCGGGCCGACGCGGAGCAGCCCTGCCACGTCAGCAAAGTAGTCCTGCAGGTAGGAGTCGGCCGGTAGGGCCGTGGACTGCTCCAAGCCCCTGTGGAGGTTGAGATGGGCTGGCTTGGTGAGCGTGACAGAAGCGGAGTGGCGGCAGAGTATTGGGGCTGTCAATGCTGGCCACCTGGTGGCTTTTATGGGAACTGCCCGGGCTGCCATTCCAGGTGCAAACGGAAGCATGCAGTTGGAGACATCAAAAGTGCCCCTGCCTCGCATCCAACATTCCCCTGGCTGGGCTGTGTAAATCACAGCAAAACTCTCCAGCCACCCCACCAGTCACACACCTTTCCAGGCGAGGCAGGGCGGCCAGACTGAGGATGAAGAAGACAGTGAAGGTCACAAGGACGCCGCTCTTCACCGCTGGGCGGCGCAGCGCCGGGACCAGGCGGTCGCGGATGAGGGCGCGAAGGGCGCCCGTGACGCTGCGCTCCCCCCAGGAGGCCTCGCCCAGGTCGTCATCTGCCAGGGAGAACAAGGGGTGAAGGCTGGGGACATGCCCTGTGCATTCTGGCTGCAGGCGGGACATGTTGGTGTGAAGTTAAGACTCCTGAGGGCCCATGCTGCCGGAGAATCCTCACGGACGCCGATGCCTCCCCAGCATGCCCTTGCCCCAACCTCAAACCCACCCTGACTGAAGCCGGGTCCAGAGGCACTTAAGAGCCGGGTCTCCGCCTCCGCCCCTTCCTCCGCTTCAGCCTCCAGCTCCTCGCTTCCAAAGAGCGGCGCCCTGCTGCCTGTATCCTTCAGCCTGAGTGGGAGGTGTGCATGGAGAGGCTGTGTGCTGGGGGAAGAGGTTGCAACAGGGAACTGGGTATGGCAACGGAAAACCACATGCCGGCAGCACAGGCTCTGACATTAGAGGACATGGAGCTCAGCACCTGTATGCAAGGGATGAGGTCAATTGGTCCTTTTGAGGATGCAGCAAATCCATAGCTCAAACCACTTACCGGATCCAGGGCAGGCAGTCAGCCCGCCCCGCCTCGATGCGGGCGTCGTCCAACACCAGTACGGCCATGAAGGCAGTGACCTGGAGCCCAAAGTCCAGGGCCACGGCCAGGGCCGCGCAGAGGGCGAAGGAGCGCAGGGCGGGCATGGTGGTCATGCCGCCCAGGGCGAAGGCCACCACCTGAGGGGGTGAGTGGGTGGGGCCAAAAGTGTGAGAGGAGTTCTGGATCAGGGACGGGCATACAACACGACGTGCCAGGAATGGGCCACACTGGCCTGATCAGAAGCCTTTTGCCCCTTGAAAGCATTGCTGACAAGCCAATGTCCCACAAATGCCACCCTTGCCAATGAGAGTACCTCGCAGGTGGCGGCCAGGAGGATGGATGGCCCGACGGCGGCCAGGGCCAGCCCCGCACGTTGGGGGAGGGGCCGGCTGCGAGGCTGCCGCTCCAGCGCCGAGGCGAGGATGAACATGTTGTCCACGCCGACTGTGGGGACGGAGAGAGTGGTGAAGCACCAGGCCAGTGAATAGTTGGCGGCACTGCAACCCACGCATCCTGTGTTCCTGCACTTTCCTTGGCAACTAGGCTTTCCCGGAAGATTTGCAGAATAATGCCCATCCTGCTTCCTGACATCTTGTATCTAAGACTAGCATACCCCCAACACACACATATTCGCCCCCCCAACCCTTCCACCCACAATTACCCACCCACACCTGCCAGCGCGAGGAAGGGGATGACCTCCATGACGATGAGCGTAGCGGGGGTCCCTGCCCAGCCAAACAAGCCCAGCGCCGCAGCCACGGAGGCAGCCACGCAGCTCACCCCCGCCAGCCCCAGGCCGATGCGGGAGTGGAGGAGGCGGGGTTGGCCGCGCGGGAAGGTGCCCATGGCCGCCGCAATGTAGGCCAGCATGGCCGCGTAGGAGGCGACCACCGTCCAGGCATCGGCCCAGCCCTCGCGCGAGATCTCATCCGCCACGGAGCGCTGCGCGCTGAAGGACAGGCGCAGGCCGGCCTCCTCCGCCATGCTGCGTAGGCGCGTGTGCGCGAGCGTCGTGAAGGCCGCCTCCCACGCCTCGGCAGCCGGCCTGGGTTGGGATCATAGGTGCAAGTGGGGAGGGACAGGGCGATCAGAATGCCAGGAACAGCCCGAGGGAGGGATATTGACGGAGAGTAGGGATGCGGAACAAAAGTTCTTTATCTATACATAGGCCAAACCCTAACTCAAGCATCGCACTCCCCACACACCGCAGCGCCGGGGCGGGGTCGAGGAGGAAGGTCACCACGAAGGCCGTGGCATCCGCCGAAAAATTGCGGAACTCCGCGGCGGCCGTGGGGAAGCCGCCCAGCACGACGTGCGGGTCAATGGGGGCGCCATAGGCGCTCAGGCACTGCGTGTTCCAATGCCCATAGCAGAACTCAGGTGTCACAGGGACCATCATGGGCGGGCTGCCTGCGCGTGGGAATGGGGGGGAGCTCTTCTGGGGGATGCTGAGGTGGAGGGAACGTGTGCTGTGCAAATCCAGAGGAGCATGCTCGTACCCGACCAGGCAGGGCTGGGCAGCCCACGCACCAGGCCAAAGACAAGCGCACTGGTGTAAGGGACCAGCATCTGTTCTGCACAATTCTTCCTCCATTCCAACCTCGCACATGACTGTCTCAGTCCCCAACGCCCAGGTATACCGACACCCAATCAGCACCAAAACAAAGCCACTCAGGACCCCCACCCCCAAACACCCACCATGCTCGTAGACATCCACGCTGAGTTGCCAGTACTGCGCCACGCTCTGGATGGCGCACTCAGCACCCAGCGGCTTGAAGCAGACGGAGGAGAGCGTGGCGTTCCCGGCCGCCCCAGCCTCCTCGCCGTAGGGCGCCGCGAGCTGATCCACGAGCTCGTGCATGGCAAACAGCGTGCGCAGGTGGGAATCGGTGGTGATGGGCCCGCCGCCCTCGCCGGTGCTCAGGATGAGCTGGCTGATGCGGTAGAAGGGGCCGAAGGACGCCTGCGGGCGGTGCGGACGGTGCGGGCGGTCGGCGTGTGGCGAGCGGGCGGATGCGACACCAGCGTCCAGGGGCCAGACACATGCAGGCGCTGCTGGGTTCCCATACATGGCATCAGCAAGGCACGCACTTCCCACTCCCAGCCACCCTGCACCACTCGCCACACCTGTACCCCAACTCAGCCCCCGCACTCCCTCTCCCTCACCTCATAGTCGGCCTGCTCCCTCGCCGCCTGCGACCCCGGCCCCACCCACAGCCGCTCCGGGTCGGACTCGATGCGAAGGGCCAACAGGCCAAGCGCAGCGAGCCCGGCCGCGGTGACAGTGGCGGCCAGAATGAGGCCCGGGCGGCGGGCACAGAGCTCGCCCAGGTCGAAGAAGGCGCGGCGCAGGAAGGTCTCGGTGGAGGGGTAGTCCAGCAGCTCGCCGTCGGAGGCCAGGCCGCCGCGCTTGGCACCCTCAAACGCCGACGCGTAGCCGGGGGGCAGGTCCGGCATGCCCTCGCCGGAGGGGTCGTGCCGCGCGCAGCGCCGCCGGACCAGCAGCGGGATGACGACCGCCGCCAGCAGCGCCAGCAGGGCCCAGCCCAGGTCCACACAGCGCAGGCCGGGGAGGAAACCGGGAACGGAGCAGCGCGAGTGCTCCGCCGGCGGGGGCGGCGGGGGCTGGGCGGGAATGATTGGGTGTGGGAAGGGGGAGGGGGGATCAAGGGCAGGGCGAGGGGGGTCCACACTGCCCAAGTTCCGCCAAACACCATCCCATCAACCACCCCCCAAACCCAAAGCACACGTGACCCCCGACCCACCGGCTTGCAGCCCTTGGCACCAGGGCAGTCCCCGCAGGAGCAGGCCAGGGGGCCCTCGCAGCAGGAGGCCAGCGAGGCGTTGAGGGCGCGCATCCTTTCCGGAAGCTCGCCCAGCGGCGGGAAGTCCATCTGGAAGGGCGACCCCGTGGGTGGGAAGCGGGCGTCCTTGACCGTCCCGATGAAGTCCAGCCACTCCTGGTAGGTTTGGGCGCCCCTGTGTGGTGTTGATACCAAGGGGACGATTGTGATCCTCGTCAGCGAGGTGCTACTAGTGCGAGGGTGATGGAGAAGACCGAAGGAGGACACAGCCCAGCTTTGCTCAAGCTCTCCACAAACCTCAGGCATCCCACACATTCCCCCTGGGCACCCGGCCCACCAGCTTCATGCTCACCCGCCCACGAACTTCATGGCCTTTTGGTTGAGGACAGGGTAGGTGACATCCTTGCAGCTGTCAAAGAGTGCCTGGCCAAAGTGCGGTGTGACGTAGTAGGACACGTTGGCAACGGAGGTTACCCCGGTGTCGTGTGCTGCCTGGGTGGCAGTCACGTTGGTGAAGGTCGCCTGGTCGGGGTGGCACTCCAGCAGGCAGAAGAGGTGCTTGAAGTTGTGGGAGCAGGCGGGGCAGCCGAGCAGAAAAATGTTAGCTATCTGGATCTGCATGGGCACGTGTGCGTGAACGGGATATCGGCAAGGTGCTGGAGGGTGTCCCTGGGCGAGGAAGGACCGGGCCCACCTTGCTCAGATCTAACCCTAGGCTCCTGGCAATGATCACAGCAGGCCCTCCCTCCCCACGCCCTGGTGTGCCATCCCCTAGCAGCGCCCACCTGGCTCTGTATTGTGTCGAGCTGCTGCTCAGTGCAGCAGAAGTGGGGATCGGATCCCCGCTCTGCCGCCAGCTGGGGGCATACCAGCTGGAGCTTGGACAGGCCCATGGAGTTCATGGACGGGGCTGGCCGCGTCTCTGCACAGCTCAGCACGTCCCCATCCTCTCGATGACCGCAGATGCCCAGAGTGGAGCAGGTCCCGGTGGAATGTTCGCTGGCTCTGCATGGCATCGAGGAACTTGGGCCATGCTGGGCTGCATGGCTGCCAGAGAGAGTGCATGACCGCATCAAGAGCCCCCCACATGCCTCATGGCGCCCGCCTGTATACCTGGAGCATGACGCCTGCGCAATGAAAATAACGATGCAGACGCGGCTGATGGGTGAGCCGCGCATCTCGACAGCCTCCCCTCCGACACTCTGGGAGATCACTTTCGTGCAACGGCCTGTGTTTCTCCCATCGCTACGAACCTCGCTCCTGGCTGGAAGATCCTGCCGAGCTCTTCGGTGTTGTTTACTCTCAGGTTCCCTCATCGTCGAATCGTCGTGCGCCCGGAGACCGGTGCGGAAACTGGTGTCGCCATGACCCCTGAGCGCGCGCCTTCTCATTCCACCCCACGCCGCCCTGCACCCTGCTGCATGGGGGCCACCCGCGGTGTCAGCCTGCTCGCGACCCTGGTCAGCACCGTGTCACACCATCCGGTTTGTTCTGTCTCCATAACGGTAATGAGGAGGCAATCATGCAAGCAAAACTCTGGCTCGCCGCTGAAGGGCCGAGGCACTGGTACCAGTGTTCCTATTCGTCGGGAGGGGCTCCTCCCTGGGTTGTGTTCATCACGGGGCTTTGGGACAGTAACCTCCCTCCGCTCCTCACGTCCCCCTCCTCAGTAAGGCCCGACCGCGGAGCCCAGGCCCCTGGCCTCCTGCTCGTAGCGCACGGCCTCGCCGTCCCATGCGCCCTGGTAGAGTGAGTGGTTGTTGTGCAGGCGCGTGGCGCGATAGTCGTGGGGCGTGCCCGGCCGCTCCAGGTCCTCTGCCTTCTTGGTGTAGCCGGACAGCGCGTCCTCACGGTCCATCCCCGCCACGCAGGCCTTGCCCAGGAGGGGAACCTTGCTCAGCGCCGCCTTGAGGCCCTTGGCCAGGGGGGTGCCCACGCTCCAGCGGCCCACGGGCAGGACGGTGCGCTTGTACTGCTCGTTGATCACGTCCGCGGCGGCGATGTACCAGGCGATGGCGGCCACCATCAGGCCCCACCACCCTGCAATCTTGGTCCAGGGGTTGGGCGTGGTCAGCCCCGCAACCAGGAGGAAGAAGAGGGTGGACAGGGTGATGAAGAGGGAGAAGAGCGCAAAGTTGAGCTCCAGGGTGGCCACCATGAGGATGAAGGTGAAGATGCCCCAGAGGGACAGCGTGATCTGGGCGGCGCCGGCCGAGGCCACGTACAAGCCGTTGGCCACCAGGGTGCCATGGATGGCGAAACCGATCCAGAAGGCGCCAAAGGAGGAGAAGGCAGTGGCGCCAAAGGTGTTCTGGCGCTTGTACTCCCACATCCCCGCCAGCAGCTGGGCCAGCCCGCCGTAGGCAAAGGCATAGGCAAACACCCAGAACTCGGTGGTCTCGGGGTCGGTGATGGCCGTGTTGGCGCCCTGGAGCAGGGCCGTGGTCAGGCCTGGCGTGCGGCAGGGGGATCGAGAAGAAAGGAGGGTGTTGGCTTGTAATTAATAATGTCCTTGCTCCTGTCGGAGGGTGCCATGATGCATGTGCAACAGTAGCTACACAGCGCAGCCCTATTCAGAAATGTTACCCACAGAACACGGTCTACTTTCCACGCACCAAAGGCAAAGAGGCCCAGGGGTGCGGGGTTGGCCACCTGCTCGCGCTGGACGACCTTGTACTCCCTGCGGATCGCATGGGGAAGGTGATTAGTAATACCCGCAGCACTAAAACCCAGCCCACAGGGTGGGCCGATACACCTCCCCCACCCATACGCACGTGTCGGCATCAAAGGGCATGGTGGAGCCGTAGTACGGCATGGGTAGCGCCATGGTCCGAGAGTCCTACATGGAGCGGAGGGCTCGTCCGTGAGCTGTGCGATCGCCAGTGCAGATTCATAATCCCCGACATGGATCCGTGAGCTTTACAACGGCGCGGCGGCCAGACTGGGGAGGCTTGGCCGCACATTTTAGGCTCAATCATCATTTTATCGCCCCCGCAATGTCGTACCCTGGAGACTTGGTCAATGGGCTTGCTGCCGGGACCGTTCTCCGGTCGGGAATCCATCGCAGACGAAACGACTTAGACGGGGCCCCGACTCGCTACCCTTTAGCTGCCTGGAATAATGCGATTTCGGAGCTCGATTGTATGCGTTAATGCGCCTCTGGGGTCTGTTGTACATGAGATTGTCATGTGGGTCCCCTTAACCATCAGGTGATCCTGTGGGTCTCCCGCCACAAGAGACTTGAGAAGAAGCTGGGGGGGCCCCATCTGGATCGACTGTACCTGCGCTGCCCGCACCCCACGTATCCCATTGCCAGAGCTTGGATGGTCGGATCGCCAGAGACCTTGCAATCATCATCACCGTTCCAGGGACTTAAGCTCCTCTTGACTGGGCGCCAGGTCTGATGCACCAAACCTGGTTTCATCGTAGAAGGTGGCTGCAACGACGCGACCCGCAAAGAACCGCCCATTCAAGTCCAGCATGGCCTGGATGTGCCGGAAGGGGTGTGCAAGACTTGTCCGCATCCAGGTAAAACTCTGCAACAAGGGATTCTGCTGAGGTTTGGCTCTACGACCACCGGGCCACCCACCTGTGTGGCCTCCCCGGCACTGGAGAACTGGATGAAGATGCGCACAGCTTCCTCGACCGGGAAGCCAGGCTCGGTGACCTCGAATATGAGCACGCTGCATGCGCGGGCAGGAGACAAAGATGGGGCAGGGTTGGGGATGGGAGGCAGGGGCTGGCGCCTGTGGCCCTGGGCACGTGCTTCGACAAGGTCCGGCATGCAGGCAGCGACGGCACCCGGCGCATGTTGCTCCGATGCAGCATCACCGCACCCCTGGCAGCAAGGCCCCGCCCCTGCACCACCAGCGCCCGCTCACCTGGTGACAGTGCCATACTTGCTGCACTCCTCCCCCACCTCTTCGTCCAGACCGTCATCCACTCCCCCAGGCCCCACCTGCATCGGCATTCTTGAGTCGGCTGTGGGCATCGCCATGCGTCGCTGCTTCGAAAAGCCTCCATGCGGGCCCCCTCCCACACCCCTCTCCCACCCACCATGTTCTTGAGCAGGACCACACGCGTCGCGGGGCCCGCAGAGGGTAGTCCCCGGGCCCCCGCGACCTCAGTCATGGCGGCTCCAGCGCACCTGGCACCGGCGGGGGCCGCTTGGACGATGACACCGGACCGGGCATCCGTCTTCTGGACGGCGAGGGGCGTGGAGATGCCCTGCCGGTTGGCCCCCAGGCCTTCGCCCTCGCGCCAGCCCATCTTCTCCAGCATTTTCTGTGCAGCGCCAGGGGTGCACGGAAAGCGTCAAGAAAGCAACCGGGTCAGACCGAGGCAGACGGGCCTTTGAATGCCATGCCCACACCATGATCAGTTCCCTGAGGATTCTCCGAGAAACATCACCCTGGAAGCCAGGGCCAGACTCAACCGACCAGAACCCTCCTGTGAACCTCCGATCAACAAGCTCCAGCCCCTAACCCTACGCAGTCCAATCACAAGTCACCGCACTGGCACACTCCGAGCCCCTCACCTGCGCCAGGGACTTCTTCTCTGCCGGCGGCGCGCCCTGTGGTGGACCGGCGGCCCCCGCCCCTGGGTCTTGCGCCGTGGCCCAGGCCGGGCGCTGCGGCGCGCCTCGCTTCTGCCACGCCTCCTCCCCGCTCAGCGCCAGCCTGGCCGACCGCTCGTCAGCGGGCGCGGGGGGTGCATGCCTCTGCGCCGCGACGTCCTCCGCCAGTCGCGCCGCCGCCTCCGTCGCCTCCCGCGCCGCCTCCTGGCGCGCCGCCGCCGCCTCCGCCTCCAGGCGCTTGGCCTCCCGCGCGCGGCGCACCGACTCGTAGTCGTTGGGGCGGGCGGGGTCGTACTCGTCTGCCACGCTGGGCGCGCTGCCCTGCGGCAGCGGTGCCGCAGACGCGATCGCCGCGGCGGCGGAGGAGGTGGCTTCAGCTGGGGGGGCGGTGGGACCAGGGCCCGGCCCTCGGCCGCCCCGGCCTCCGCGCCCAGGAGCGACGGGGCCGGGACCCTCCCGTCCCCGGCCCCTGCCGGCGCGCAGGACCGAGGGGGGGGGCATGGGGGCCGAGGCACCTGGCCCAGCTCGCCGGGCGTTCAGGCTGGAGGGTGCCACCAGGCCTTTGCCGACCCAGGGGCCATCTGAGGGTTTCGTATCCTCCCCTTTGGCGGATGGGAGGTCGCCGTAAAGTCCCGAGAACATGGGTTGTCCGATCGTGGTCACAGGGGCTCAGGCAGCGCCCCCCGATTGTTCTAGTCACAGGACAACGATGTCACCCCTGCGTATCCTAACTTCCCGCGAATGGAATATGTTACTTGGATAAATTATACTCAAGCCTCATCTGCTGTCCAGCGTAACAGCAACATCTTCCGGAGGAGCCAGGCTACTTGGCTTGTGAGAGCGCGAGATCGTCACGGAGATATTGCACATTTGAGTGCGATCCCGGCGGAGCAATAGCAGAACGGACACCCTCAACGCAATGCAGTGAATCCATGCAGTATACCGGGGCTCATTTGATGATATACGGGCGCATCCTGGGGCTGGTCGTAGACTCTCTGCCGCCAGGTCACGACGGCTGACGCCTGTCCCCTTTATTCACATCTGAAGCGATCACCGGCATGGCCAAGCTGCGATTATGAGAGGAAATCCTTCGACTTATGCCGCTCGAGGAACTCAGCAGACTCACACTGAGCACGACACGGCACCATGCCGAGACAACCTTCGGTGCGGCGATGCGCGGCAGGGTGCGGGCGCTGCACAGGAAGCTGTCCCGGCAGTATGAGGAGGACAGAAGGGAGGAAGCCTGCGCGGTGAAGGAGGCCAACCGCGCGGCCCTGGATGCCGCTCTGCAGGGGCTGAGGGCGGTGCAAGCCGCCCGCATGGAGGGCAAGCCCCCCATGACCATTCCCATGCTCGGCTCTGGGGAGGACTGGCCTGCTGTCGGGACTACAGGGTACAGAAAGCTGATCCCGGCTGGGAAGGAAATGATCCTGAACAGCAAGCCCCCTTTGGTGTCAGTCAGCTTCCATCCCTGCTGGACAATCCCCAGCAAGCCACCCCTGCCCCCTTACAAGGGCTGGTCCTTCAACAGGAACAACACACCCGCCACGGTGATTGGGCGACGTCTCTTTTACACAGGTGCGCCGACCGCCCATCGTGATGTGCAGCCGGTGGGGTGGGATGTCTAAGAGATTTTGCCGTCTGACGCGTGAGGAGAGTTTTCATGGCCTCTCTTTTGGTTTGCACACTCCCTCGCTGAGTTTTTCACGACCAGACAAGCTCGGGGAGACTGTGCCTGTGAGTGACAATGAGGAGGATCCCGACGTGGTGAGTTGGTCGCGGCTGACGTCAATGGTCGGGGTCAAGGCTGAATGGGGGAGGGGCCCGATGGGTTTGGAGCACTCTTGAGACTGGCCTGCCCAGCCGTCGCTCACCCATGGCAGCGTCCATCCTCCTTGCTGACCGCAAAGCCCTCCTTAGCTCTCTTGAACCCTCGGGGCGCCACCCTCACCGCCCCCCCGCCATCCTTCCCCCCCCCCCTCCTCAGCTGGCGGCGGTGAAGCTGGCGGGGCCGCAGCGTCCCAAGCACGACTACATCCTGGCGCACATCGCGGAGGAGCTGGGGGAGAGCCAGGACGTGGCCGCCGCGCTGTCTGGCATCATGCAGATCCCCGTCCCCCTGCTGCAGCAGCGCATAAAGGAGCTGGTGCGCCCGGCGCGGCGCGCGGGGGCCGGGGCGGCGGCTGCCCCCGGCCAGCCGCCGGCCCCCAACCGGCTCAGGCGCAGCCTGCAGGGCGCGTGGTGCCGCCAGTGCCGCACCTACGCCTGCCGCCTGCACGCCGCCGCGCCCCTGCCCGTTGCCGGCCCGATGGCCCCCCGCTGGGCGGATGGCGGGAACGGCGCGGCGCCGCCGGCGCCCTGCGGCCCGAGCTGCGTGCGGGCAAGCGACGACGGGCAGGGAGCGGGCCCGGCTCAGGCCGCGCCCGGGGCTGAAGGGACCCTGGGCGCGGCGGGGCCCGGGATCCAAGGGGCCGGCACGCCGCCGGTGCCGACGCAGGGCGTGGCAGTGGGGCTGCCCGCCTGGAGCAAGTGGGAGGCGGGCCTGCTGGCGGAGGGCGTGAGGGTGTGGGGCTGCGGCAATCCCTGCGCGCTGGCCTCCATGATCGGCACCCGCTCCTGCGCAGAGGTGGCGGCCGAGGTGGCGCGGCGCTTCCCCGGCGCGACGCACGGGTCGCCCACCAAGCCCCCGGCCTACCACCGCCGCAAGCCGGCCTGGGGCAAGCGCATCCGACCCACGGTCACCCAGGACCGCCTCAGGCGGACAGACCCCGTGAGTGGCCAGAGCTTGCGTATTTTGGGGGGGGAGGAAGAGGTCCTGATGTGCACGAGGGGTGGCTTCCAGTCGGGAAGAGGAGGGAGCGCACAGGTGGCTGTGTCCAGATGAGCGCCCGCCCTCATCGAGTCGAGTGGCTAGCTGGCTCTCACCCTGCCCCCTCCACCACCCAACTCTTCCCCCTTCCCCCAAAGAAGTACATGCCGTCCTCCCCCCCCGCCCTCTGCAGCTCTGGGCGCCGTGGCGGCCATGCAGCTGCGTGGGTCCCTGCGTACGCGGCACCTGCCCCTGCGTGGACTCCCAGAACTTCTGCGAGAAGTTCTGCGCCTGCGACTGCCGCGCCTGCGGCAACCGCTTCCCCGGCTGCAAGTGCAGCGCGCGCGCGCGCGGCGGCGGGCGCTGCCGCGTGCGCACCTGCTCCTGCCTGGCCGCGGGTCGGGAGTGCGACCCCGACCTCTGCGCCGGCTGCCAACCCTCCCTGGCCGCCGGCAGCGAGGGCGGCGACGGCGACTGCGCCAACTTCCGGCTGCGCCGCGGGACCAAGAAGCGGGTGCTCATGGGGCTGAGCGACGTGCAGGGCTGGGGCGCCTTCCTGCAGGGCTCCGCGCGTGCGGGCGACTTCCTCGGCGAGTATGTGGGGGAGCTGGTGGACACCGCGGAGGCGGACCGCCGCGGCATCAGCTACGACCGCGACGACAACTCCTACCTGTTCAGCCTGAACAAGGCGTCGGTCGTGGATGCAAAGACCAAGGGCACCAAACTGCGGTTCGCAAACCATTCCTCCGACGCCAACTGCGAGGCCTCGTGAGGACGGGGAGGAAGTTTTTTTGAGGGGGGGGGGGGACCGAGGGGAAGAGGGGAAGGGGTGGGGGAAGTAGGAGGAGGAGAATATATGTTGAAGGGGTGTGTGGTCTGAGGATGGCAGGGAAGTACGTCTTCAGATGGACCCCGCTTACCTGCCCAGGATCGCTCTGGGGAGGATGAGCTGCCTTGGCGCTCACACATCGAAGGCGTGCAGGGCCCTCCCCGACCAGGATCCCCCCTTTCTCTCGCAGGATTCTGATGGTGGACGGCGACCATCGGGTCGCCATCCTGGCGCGCAAAAACATCCGGGACGGCGACGAGCTCTTCTACAACTACCATTACGAGAAGAGGGTGGGTGGTGCGGGAAGGCAAGGTCTCGGCGTGGGGAGGGGGGAGCTGTGCTCTCCAATGCGTACGCTGCATGTTCAAGTGGGACCCAACCCTGCATGGGTCGCGCACATGGCCCGCCACCTGACCTTGCATCCAGCATGGGGCCCCACCGCCGACCGCATCTCACCCCCACATTTGCAGGCAGCGCCTTCCTGGTGGAACCTGCCCTCAGCCCAGGGTTCCGGACTGGGCCAGAGGCGATCCACACAGGGGCAGAACGTGCAATGATTTTGCCGTGGACTCGAGTGTTCGGTGCCTGGTTCGATGGCAACGATGCACCCCCGACCCTGTGCCGTGCCCCTGGCTGTAACAGGAACGGCTGACGTCTGTCTTGGACCCCCTGGGCTGGACTCCAGTCACCGACCCCAGCGACCTTGCAGCACGCGGTCAGCGCACGCGCCCTCGGGCCATTTCCTCAGGCTGGGGCGCAGCGCCGCACGAAGGCCTCCACCAGCCCCACGCCGTCGCCCTCCTGCGCGCTGGCGCTGGCGGTGCCGACCTCGATGCCGGTGGCGGCCTGCAGCGCGGCCAGCGTGAACGCCTGGGCGCCGGGCGGAAGGAGGCGTGTGGAAGCGGCACGGCCGCCCCCGACGTCCTCCAGCGCCGAGCGCGTGGTCTGCAGCTGCAATGGGGGGGGGAGGGGCGGCGGTGAGGAGAGGATGGGCGGTGGTGGGAGAGGAGGGTGTGGGACCTCGAGATGGAGGATTGGCAGTGAAGGAGAGGAAGGGGAAACAGCATGGCGTGTGCATAGCCAGGGAGAGGCTGAGCATGGTGGGGAAGGCCCTGGTTGCAGCAAGACTGGGTCCACAATGATTGCCACGGGTGACGGACCAGGGAGGCCTGCCCCACCCCGTGGCCTGAGTCAGGCTGCCACCCAGGGCTGCTGCCTCAAGGTCCCGGCGGCACTCAAACTTGCCCCCCCCTTTCGCCCCCCCAAACCCAGACCCCGGCATGATCAGCGCACAGGCACCCGCTCACCAGGTCGAGTTCCTTCTCCAGGCGCTTCCGAATGAAGTCCACGGAGTGGGCCTTCACCCCCATGTCAGACTTGTTGCAGACCAGGAGGATGGGCAGCCTGCGCCCGACCACCGACGGGTGAGTGAGCACGTCGTACAGCTGCCTGTGGGTTTAAAATGGCGAGGCGGTGAGGGGAGGGCCGGAGATCAAGTTCCTCTCGCATCTCATGCGTGTGGCAGGATGGTCGGGATGCCCTCTACACAGTGCATGCGTCAAGCCAGGTCGATATCACCAAATTTCCGACAGCAAGGCTGGGCAGGGGCACGCCAGAGAGGACCTTGTGCAACCCTTCCAGCTTGAACCACCACACGCACTCTGCAATGGCCGACTTGTGGGGCAGGAAGTCCACGGCGTCCACCAGGAACACAATGCCCTGGGCAGACTTCTCCCATGCCAGCCAGGTGTCACGCACGCGCGGGTGCCCTGGGATATCCACCAGGTTGACAGGTCGAGCAGCGGGACTCTGCGGGGACAGCAGTTCCGCGGGAGGGGGGCTGGAGGCGCGGGCTGGGCGAGGCAAGGCCAGGGCAGTGCACAGCTCCACACACACAGCTCCACGCCCAAACTGTCCACCCATGGGCCTGTCAAACCACTTGCCTTGTCGGAGGCCAGGTTGGTGGTCACCTCCCGAGGCTCCATGGAGGCCACCGTCCCATTGAGGGTGCTCCCGTACTGCAGGCGATGGAAGAGGGTGGTCTTCCCGGATCCTGTGGGCCCCAGGATCAGGATGTTGCGCCCGTTAGGTCTACTCCGCGCCACCGAGATGATGACTGCGGGCCGAGTCGGTGACGGTGGGTGGGACTTGGAAAGGTTGCGGCAGGCCTCCATCCACCTCGAAATCAGGAATTGATTGATCCAGTCCCATAAACTCACATATCAAGCCTATGACTGCCAAGATGGTGAATGCGATGTGGAAGGGTTGTACTCCAGACCCAAACAGGGAGTGCCAGGCCTCCTCCATGTCGGGAGACATACTGCGAATGGAGCAAGCGAGATTCAAGGCGACGAGATCATCAGAGCTACATGCCTGTACATGCGTGGCAATGAAGTCGTCAAGAGAACAGCACTCTCCCAGCTCGATTTCCCCTGGAGCTGTCCAGATGGGTTGAGGAGCCCTACGACATGTCCTGCTTTCCAGGCTTTACAGGAGCCAGTTGGCTGATGTGCAAGCGCCATGCAGCCCGAAACCCACGCTATCCCGGCACAAGACCATCCATTTTGACATCACAGAGGATCAGCAGAACGCACTCCCTCGACCAAGAAGGAGGGGTTCTGTGAAACCCTCGGGACGTGCACGGGGCCAGGTGGCCCGAAAACCAACGCACCCCGTCAGAATCGTCCTGCAACTCCTCCGGGATATTTGGGCATGGCGACTGCATTGCAGAAGGCTAGGACCGTAGCACTGTACCGGGACAGCCTGAAGACACTGCTTAGCTGGGCAGTAGCGCGCGATATTTTCTATGTGAAGGTGAGGCTCGGGTACACTCATTTGCAAGAGCATCACGAGGAGTAGTTGCAGACATGGTTGGTATATAGATAGTATAAATCATCCAATCATCGTGGTCATGCAGGCAGCAGAGCTCCGTGCCGAGTTCGATCAAAACGCCACGCTGGTGGGAGACCGGTGATGATGGACAAGTGGCTTTGGGGTGTGCTTTGCAATGTTCCGGCACCACTACCCTCGACATAACTCCTCCGACTCCTCCTGCAGACCGGACACGACCAGATAGAACGTGCCCTGGCCCGTGGCGAGGAGCGCCTGCGCTCATATGCGCACCCAGACCCTTACATTGGTGAGTATAGAACTGGGGCTGGCGTTTTTCGGCAGCAGATATCGAGATACTGTTGCTCAACCCTACTCCACCCACGCTGCGCAGTGCCCTACCGGCCTGGAGGCTCCCTGTACGCGCGGAACCCACCCTTCCCCGATGGGGTGAGTCTGGATGTTGGGACCCATTGGCAACATCCTTGCACCATCCTCTGGTCAGTGAGTCCACGCTTACGCATCCTACATCACACCCCTCCAAAACCCTTCCGCGACGCAGATCAGCATGCACATGGACTTTGGGCGTGAGGGCGGGCATTGAATGCGTTGTGTAGCTGGGCAAGACCTGCCCGACGGAGGTTACCTGCCTGAGAATGTACACATATTGCTGAGTCTCAGGTGCAGCGGACAGTAGGGTGCAAGCAATGGTGAGCAAAAGATCGCAGTCTGGGGGGAAAAACGAGGTGAGGCTTCGGCCGGGTGATGTTGATGAATAAGGACATTGACGGCGTGCCTCCCGTTTTCAAGCGCTGCTTTCAGATGGCATGCCGCCGCGGCTACGACTCTGCGTCGTCCTGCAAGGGAGGCAGCTGGGCTGCGGTCTCCAGCTCCTCCTGCCATCGCCGAGTCTCGGCTGTCCCCCAGGTTGCCGCATTGGCCATGCTCCTGGGAGTTCCGTCTGGTCCCTTGAGCAGGGGCCGGGGCCCTAGCAGGTCTTCCAACATCTGTAAGGGAGGGACCGCGCGCCGTACAATCTCGCTTTGCACCTCACCAGCGAGGTGCCATGGAGTTTCATGGGGTCGCATCGCACCGTGACGGCACTGACAAGACCCCTCCCTCCGAACCCTGCTATTCACTCCTCGGAACCTTGATGTTTTTTTGTAGGAGCTGGCGCCGTAAGAGCTGCATGCCCTGCAGCTTGGCCTGCCTGACACTGGGTGGCAGCGCCAAGACTCTCCTCATGGTCTTGGGCACATCAGTTTGGGGAGAGGCAGGTCGTCGAGTTGGGAGTGACACTTCGGCCATGCCAGGTTCACCCAGTTCAATACATGGTTTGCTGTTCCTTGCAACTACGGTGCAGCTGCAGGGTCCTGCGCTTTGAAAGTCATACCCACATGGCCTGTCACCCCACCCACAGCCCCGGGCTGGTTGGGCAAGGAGCAGCAGGTTTCTGGTCGTCGCCTCACCTCCACGTATGGCAGGGTGGGGTCCACCAGGAACACCGACTCCCTAGACAGGAAGCTGGGAGGGCGATGGGGAGCGAGATCTGAGCCGTCCAAAACTCCAGGGGCGTCAGGTGGGACGTCACACTCCCATGCGCAAGCGTGCGTCACAGCAGCCGGCCCTGGCACACCTGTACACCCGCAGCATCTCCGGGGTGGCGATGAGCGGGGTGGCGGAGATGAGCGCCGCCCCCATGGTGGAGGAGGCGCGGTCCGTGTAGTACTCGTCAGAGCTGAAGGCAGGCAGGATGGCCACGCAGCCATGCATGACCTCGTAGTATTCCTGCGCG